AATGGAACATCCCACTGAAAGTAAAACACATTTTGCCAGTGGGTTCACAGCTATTTGCTAACAGTAGAGGAATGGTGAGACTCAGGACTCCTGGGTTCTATTCCATGTTCTGAGAGGAGTATACCGCACTGTACTCCTGTCCCACCCAAGCCTGAAATCTTCTGCTCCTGTCCCTCCAATATATCCATGTCCCAGTTTTAGACCTTCCCTTCCCAACCCAACCTGCAACCCCTTCTTAGTCCCAGTCTTCCCCTTTATCCCAATGTCCTCCAACTCCATCCCCTTATCTCAGTCCACTACCTTCCCACCAAACTCTAACAAGTCTCTACAGAACACTTGAAATGGAGATGTTTCAGAGACTCACATATGGGTGGATTTTCACAAAGATGGCAAAAGGCACAACCTTGACATCAGGATGACCTTGTGCCAAGTTTCAAAGCATGGAAGTGTTAGAGCTACTCAATGAAACATCTATACATTATTTTGCCCATGTTAAATATTCTTACGTTTCCCTAACTTTATTGAGAGAAACAACAGAACTTTTTTTGTTGAAATAAATAAATAAAAAAATAAATTTGGCCATAGGCAGACACCTGGCATCCATGGAAAATTTCAGTCTGAAAGGTTGAAGTTTGGCAAAGTTATAAGGAACTGAAAACAGGGGCTTATCATGGAAACTGTTGGGCAACACTGACTGCAGATATCAATACCCGCAATGCCTTTAATTATTTATATATATATTATATATAAAAATGAGGAGTCCTTGTGGCACCTTAGAGACTAACAAATTTATTTGGGCATAAGATTTCGTGGGCTAGAACCCACTTCATCACCACTAGTGCACACATGTATCTACTCATACCCTCCAGTCATGCATCCATTAATTAGATCTTGGAAATTCAAACCTTGTTTTCTTTTTCAACCAAGCATAATCATGCTAAAGCAAAATAACTGCAGAAAAAACAACAGCAAATCGATCATTTTGATACACGAGAAGGTAAACACAAACACTGGCTGCATTTCTGGGCTTTGATTACATCCAATGTGTAAGCACATTTCTCTTGCTCTACTCCAAGTCAGATGTTTACCAGATCAAGGCAGAGTTACTTTAACAACTAATGGAAGGCAGGGTGGAAGCCCTATAACTAATTTGGGAAATGTAAATCAAAACTGAGCAAAGCACTAGAAAATATACTATAGGGAATAACCTGGAATTTGTAAGGGACTGACTAGTCACTAAATGATCAAATAGGTCTTACCCTGTCTGATTTCTGTACATCTATCATTCTAGGATCCAGTGATGAAGACAACTGTAAGAACGGGACAAATTTACTCATTTGCCACCAAGGTATTTCACTATCTCTCTCTTTGTTAAGTTAACATGGAATAACTCACCAAGTTGTATTTTCTTTCCTTTTCAAAATACTTAATACATGTGCTGGCAGTTTTCCTAGATATCTGAGAGTCAGCACCTCTCCACCTACAGGAATATCTGTCCGAGGGGAAACACTTTGTGAGGCTCTCCTTATAGAGAGTCCCCCAAACCATTCTGTGGGGAATGGGAGCAGCTTTACTCCCATGCAATGAATTCCATTCTCACAATCCAGCAGACCCTCAGGAAGAGGCCATCCCTCCTCACTGGCTCTGGGGTTCCAGACTCATCTCCATTCCATGGTAACACACAACTCATTGCAACTTGCCTACTGGGGCCTCCTCTGCCACTGGGACCTACCCTGAAATGGAGGCTTCCCCAGTACAGAGGAGTCTGTGAAAAAAGTAATATGGCCTGCAGCCATGTTATCTTTCCTGGGTAATTGTCATAGGGCTCTTGGAATACCCATACCCACCTTTACTCATTCCTCATGAAGACCCCATTCTTCATAGAGTTTTCTGTGTGTTCCTTAATTTGTGGTTGGGAAGAGAAACGTGTGCACAGAGGTGGATTACTTAACCTTCTGCACGGGAGAGATAAACTCCATATGTCGATGGTGTCTTCCATTTTGGGATTTAGGGATGCCATCTTGTCCGAGTTGAGACTTTCCCATCATGTGGCATGTTGCCCCACAAGGATCAGTCAAAAGTTAACAGCTGCTATTTTATATTATATTAGTGCACAAGGGCCCCAGCCAAGTTCAGGGCCCTGCTGTGCTAGGTGCTAAGCAAACATCTAGGAAGATTCAACCAGAGCACGCTCTCTCTCTCTTTTTCTTTTTACATTCTGAGCCACAATCTCTGTTCCTGATGCCAAAGCAGCATCAAAGCCCGATGACCTGGTGCTCAATACATTTGTATTCAATTTTACAAGGCAAATTAAAATAAATTGCCAGAGCTAACAGATAAGCGAACCAACTCAGTTCATGTAAAAATACATCGTGTCACTAAACTACACTGCTGCTCACAGAACTTTTTCTGAAACTCTAATCCTCCAAATCACCTAGGGGTGGACAGCTTTAAAGGCCCTCTCTTGAACCCAGATCTCCTCTCAGAGTGCCCTACACTGTACACAGAATCATGTTACCCCAAAGCCATTTGTAAGTAGCTCTGAAAGGCTGAGATTAGAAATGCTCTCCAGATATAATGCTTTACATACCATGTGTCTTAGGCCCTAAAGATATAACTCTTGAAAAGGGTTAGTACAATATTGCCCTCTGTTGGTGAGCATTTTTATAAAACTGATTCAGAGGATTATATAATGTATCAGGACCATTTGAATGTACAGGAGGCAAAATACAAGGAGTACATCAGAGTGAGTCTCTTATATCAGATGCTACATAGATTTTACTATCCCCAACCCTTACCTTTCAAATTGGAGAGTATAACAATAACTTCCTTAATCCAGTTTGGATTATCTGCCTAAATGACTAAAATATTGTTTCCCCAGCCTGCAGGCATCACAATGGGATGTTTCTAGATTCCAAGTAACCTTAATTTTTGCTAGTGCACTGAAGTGAATTTTGGTATTTTGGGCCAGATTCTCCATTCCTCCTTTTCTGCACTGGCACCTTGCAAATGCTGGCCTGGACCAGAGGACCCATTGGCCCCGGTGAAAATCTAAATAGCCCCAGGCTGGTTTGCAACAGTGCTCTATGTGGCATTGCATCAGTACAAAATAGTTGGAGTGCAGTCTGATGTGGCCATGCCTCCATCACTCTCCATCCTCTGCTTGCCCCCCAGCCCAGGACTATGAGGGAAGGCCACCAGGAAGTCATTGAGTAGCTCTTCTCCGGGCAGGGACCCCTACTACAAGAAGATTCTACCTTCTTTATAAATGAGCTGCTGTTCAAGACACAATCCAGCTCTTCAAGTGTATGTTATACATAAAATTGCAAAATCCACATCATTCTCCCTAAACACCTCCAGAAAATTCAAATGCATTGGTACATCAGCTATTACCCCTGGGTTAGGATACATTTAAGTCCTAGGAGCTTGGATATATGTCAGTAACATACTGCAGTAGTAGCAGATAGTTACATAACACCTGTAGGAGAACACTTCAACCTCCCTGGCCACACAATAGCAGATGTAAAGGTAGCCATCTTACAGCAAAAAAACTTCAGGACCAGACTTCAAAGAGAAACTGCTGAGCTCCAGTTCATTTGCAAATTTGACACCATCAGCTCAGGATTAAACAAAGACTGTGAATGGCTAGCCAACTACAAAAGTAGTTTCTCCTGCCTTGGTGTTCACACCTCAACTGCTAGAAGAGGGCCTCATCCTCCCTGATTGAACTAACCTCATTATTTCCAGACTGATTCTTGCCTGCATATTTATACCTGCCTCTGGAAATTTCCATTACATGCATCTGACAAAGTGGGCATTCACCCACGAAAGCTTATGCTCCAATACATCTGTTAGTCTTTAAGGTGCCACAGGACTCTTCGTTGCTTTTTACATAACACAGTTGTTCTATCGTTTATATAGTGTACATTATACAGAGACTCTGATCCTTGGCTACATTAAAGCAGATCCCGTATCACAGAAGGAATACAAATAAGACTTATCCTCCATAAATGACATCAACACATCTTTATTGAGTTTCTCTAGAACTTGGGAACAAAGCATGTTTGAAAACAAATTTAACTTCAGGACACTGCAGTCTAGTTACAAATTTAAGTGTAACATTGTCATAATTTTAGTAGTACCATCATATACAGTGTCACACCTGGGTAGAAAGTCTATGGCATGCTTTCAACTGTTTGCTGTTTCAAACATTTACATTCATCAAGAACCTCATGCAGCAACCCTTCTACTGAGACAAGGCTGAGTTTGAAACTCTGGGAATGGTCTCTAAGTAGTATTTTTATTGCAATATCTAAGCCCAACAAGATGATTAATGAGAGATCCTCAGCTTTAACTCTGAACTCATGCTGTGAAGTCAATCATAAGATTTAAAGAGTTTATATCCTTTTCATATACGTTTTTGGGAAGCTATGTGGTCTAGTGGCTAGAAAAGGCACTTGAGAACAAGGACTCCAGAGAGGCACTTCCATCTCTGCCACTGTCTTGCTCTGTGACCTCAAACAAATCACTTAACCATAGGGTGACCAGACAGCAAATGTGAAAAATCGGGATGGGGTGCGGGTGGGGGGTAATAGGAGCCTATATAAGAAAAAGACCCAAAAATCAGGACTGTCCCTATAAAATCGGGACATCTAGTCACCCTACCTAACCACTGCATGCCTCCAGTTTACTCAACAGCAAAACAGACATCTTCTTGCAGGAGTGTTGTGAAGCTTAGTTTGATAATGGCTTCCAGTGTACTCTGAGATCATTGATAAAACTGTGCATAAGTATGTAGAAGTATGATTAAAAACACCTAGGGGCATGCTAGGATGGATATGATAGATAGTACAATGTGAATGACTGCATTTACATTGCATTTTTTACCATACTTTTCTACTGCCTTTGGGACCTTTGTTGTTGGAAGGTATTTTTTGCTCCTTGTCAGTAAATGCTAAGATTCTAAATAAAATGTGTGTAGTTAATAAAAGGGGTCTTACCTTGTGTTGTTCCGTCTAATCCCATGACACATTTCATCGACCGAATGATCTGCTCTGCTACAGGTGGACACATAGATGTGGCATAAATAGCACTGTGCGAGTGAGTTCGTAAAAAATCCACAAGTTCCTTAAACAAGTGAAACAAAATTTGAATTCACTTTGAATTGTCAGGAGAGCAGAATGCCTTCCCAACTACTGATACAGGTGAGGACATATGGAGATCAAGGATATTTGACTGAGACATTTCATGACTGATTTATTTTCTTAATTGTTATTAAAAATCCATGGTCTGAAGAAATACAGGTGATACTTGGCAAATGTAAATCCTTTAAAATGTAAGCTATGCACCTGCAGCTGAAACAAAGCTACAAACTAGAATACTACTTTGCTTATATGATGAGACTCTTTACAGAAGTGGGGTGGGGTAGGGGGAGGGGAACCTGGCCTCACTGAGGCACTAATCAACAAGCTGCATTTAAAATACAGAATTTTCCCACCTTTCAGAAGGATGAATGTGATGGGCAAATGGCAAATAGTGCAGTTTGTCTCCCATTGGATTTAGCAGAAGAAAAGTAACCTCACTAGTGTCTGTATTCAACTTCACAATAGTCTTATTAGTTTGTCTTTAATATAAGGCTGAACCTACCTAGCAGTTCCACCAAAATCCATGGCAACTCCCCATTGCCACGTGCTCCCCACTTTAACATACTCCTTAGTCCTTGACACATGCTTCTGCATAAGCTTAAAATGAAAACAGGCCCCAATCATGCAATTGGATCCACCACCTGCCTGAACCCCTACACACCTGTCCAGAGCACTACAGACTTAAATGGGACTCGATGTGGGCATGGGGATTTGTGCTAGTGGCTCTGAATGCAATTCTTAGGCCCTGATGCTGCAGGGACGCCTCCCCTGCCACTTACCTGAGCCAAAGGACTTTATACAAAGTAGGAAAAGTCATAAGTAGGAGGCCTAGTTACAGGACATAAAGGTTTAAGGCCTTGTGTACACAGGAAAGTTTTACCAGTTGTACTGATATAATTTACATGTATAGTTATACCAGCGTAATCCCAAACTGGGCATGCAAATCTGTACATCAAAGCATATCTAGTCAAGCACAGAGCTGGCTGAATATCCCCATTATTTGTAAAGCCCTCCACCCAGGTTTGGGACAAAAGTACCAATAGCCCAGCAAATTACCTAATATGAATATCAAACAAAAATAAGAAAACTGAATATTTTACCCATTCCAACAAACAGAATAGCTGAACAGTTCAATCATTCATTTGGGATCCAAACAGGAGCGGTGCATTCTCTATAATAGCACTACTATGTGGCAGATTATATGGAAAGGCAGCTATATATGCCATGCACAGATAGGATGCCATTTGTTTTGGTGTCAAACAGAGACTAGAAGTTTTCTATTTACCTTCTTGCCAGCTATGTATCCTCCAGCTGCTCCAAAGCTTTTGGTGAAGGTACCCATCAATACATCGACATCTTCAGGGTCCATTCCAAAATATTCCACGACTCCCCGGCCGGTGGGTCCCACAGCACCAATGCTGTGAGCTTCATCCAAGTAGAGGTAGGCTTTGTATCTCTTCTTCAAGGCGACTATCTCTGGCAGGCGCACAATGGAACCTTCCATGCTAGAGAACGAGAATTGCTAATGAATCTTTTAATCCCCATCTCTCTTTAAATCTTAGCACTATGGTACACATTATGGACGGCAGGGTTACCGGATACCAAAAAAGGCCTCTTTAAAGCTCAAACCAAATTCGTAGCTCAAAGAAAAACTGGGAAGTCTTAATGCCCATTGCTGAGCAGGCAGTCACTCACATGAGCAGTCCCAGTGACTTCCTTGGTCTTTTTGCAAATTATCAGCCCTACTTCTGCATGCAGAAAAGAGAAGAGAAGAGAAGGGAAGGGTTCAAATGACATGCTGGACTTTATCCAGATTAGTGTATATAATTCAATACAACCCCCCCAGAATTAGAAGGTATTTGCAACTCTGGCCCCCCACTTATGTCCATATGCCCCCACTCTGACAACATTTACAGGTTATAAAGGCAACAGATCCAGGCAGAATTCCCCCAGTGCAGGAGAAGTCTAGGGTAGCACAGGTGGGAGCCAGGGACAGAAAGATTTATATAGATGAGCTTCAGAGCAGCCCACAGGCACATGTGGGGAGGCTCCCTAATTTAAGGCAGACTTGGCTCTTGGAGAAGGAACAATCTGGAGGTTCAAAGGTGACTTAACGTGATCTTTGACTCCTTCGCTCCTAGCCTGTCTCTTTCAGGGGATGCCACACACGATCTAGCACTGTACAGGAAAAGATCCTTAATATTTTATGTTTTCTTCTCCTTAGTACGAGAGCAGAATTCAATATGCTGCATTGATGCATTAACAGCATCTTGACACTCCTAGGGAAAAAAGGAAAAGAAACCCAGCGCACTCTCGGTAGTTACCTCAATAGGGTAGGTGAACAGCAGGAATTAGCCTGTAAGATGAACTCCCCAGGAAATAAATTAGAAATCCACTTTAATGCAAGGCAGTTTAGTTATCCGTACCTTTGCTGTGGACACTATTGTGCCTTGAAAACCTGGGTGAGATTACCAAGGAAGCTTATCACCAGATACCTTCACATGTATTCAATAGTTTATTTTTACAGTGAGTTAAACTTGTTCTCTTGCACTAGCTGTGGTGAGGGAAAAAACATCTGAAAGTGCTAACATATTTCATACCAAAAGCAAGGTGCTGTGTGCCAAGCAAAACCTACATTCTGTGGGGAGGCCCCCTGCTCAGGTGGGTCAAATTGGAAATCTTGAGGCAGCTCCAGCTACATTGAAAAATGGAGCCTGTTCCCCGAATTAAATGTGCAAATGAGTAATACAGTCAGTATGGCCTCCCGGCGTTATTTATCTCGATATCAGTTTCAAACTGTTTTATGCAACAGAGGGTCCTGTGGCACCTTTGAGACTAACAGAAGTACTGGGAGCATAAGCTTTCGTGGGTAAGAACCTCACTTCTTCAGATGCATCTGAAGAAGTGAGGTTCTTACCCACGAAAGC